GCATGAGTCCGATCTCCCCTCTGCCTTGCCCCCTCCAATTCCTCGCTCTCTTAGCTCAGCTCCCACCTTCCACCCCTGACCACCCACTTCCAGCCACACGTGCCTCTTGGAACAGTAAACAAGCTTCCTGCCAGGCCCTCAGCTCCTGCTGCCCCCTCTCATGGGAACATTCTGCCTTCAGATGTTCCAGGGCTCCTTTAGATGGTACTCAAATATCAGCTGCTCAGTGAGGCCATCCATGACTACCCGGCTTCAAGCTGCCATCACCCCACTCAACAAAATCCCCCTTCCTTGCTTGGATTTTCCCCCTCACGTGTGTACTACGCACCATACTCTACATTTTACTTACTTATCTTCTTCATTTCCTGGTTCTCCTACCAGAAGGTAAGCTCCAAGAGGGCGGGCATTTTGTGGTTATTTGTTTGCAGCTATGCCCCACAGTGCCTAGAATATAGTATAGATGCTCAGTAGATATCTTGAAATGTATGAGAGGCTGAATTTATATCCTGCTCCCCCAAACTAGAGAGCTGAGAAATACAAATTCCTAACAAATACCACATCTTGGATACACTCAGGGAGAAATCTAGGGGCTTCTGCCGCCAGGGTCCACTTGGTGATATTCTTTCAAATGTTTCACCCAGACTCTAAAAATCTGACTAATCACAGAATAAATAACTATTAAATCAGCCAGTCAAACATACAAACCACCTGAAGCAGCTTTGCATTCTACCCCTCCCCAGCCCCACTGCCTACATCCCAAAAAAAGCACTATTGAGTGTGTTTTCCCCTGGGGCTTCCAGATAAACCAATCATCTGTGTCCTCAACAGGTGTATTTACTGAGCAATTTCAGAATAAGGAGTGTAAGTATGATACAAGTGGGAAAAGACCATGCTTGCCCCATGGATATTTCTATTTATACCCTTCCTAAAGCAGCACCAGCAGGCACTCATTTAATGAAAAAACGGCCGCACTATGCTAGGGACATTAAGTGGGATAAGACTTCCTGTCCAGAGCTGTTTCACTCTGCTACTAGCATGGGCCTAACAATGTCGCTCCAAACAGAAATGAGCAGCACGAGCCACACGTGGAAGGCTCGTAAGGATCCCCAGTGAGTAGTTTCCTTGCACAGTTGAGCCATAAAACCTCAGGGCTGTAAGGCCACTTGAAAACCATCTTGCCTTCCCTGCCCCACACCCCTGATTTTAGAGAAGAGAAAGCTGAGACAGAGAGAAGGTAATGTGGACAACTGACCAAGAGGCCCACAGGCCACACAACCCATTAGTGGCTGAGCCAGACCTGGAAGCCAGGCTCAAACTCTCCACGAAGCCCAGCCCAGCCCCCTACAGACAGCAATTATTTCCCCGTAAAATGTTCAGTCTATAAGAAAACCATGTATACACACCCTGCAGAGATGATCTATTTTCTAGGACATGCCATTTCCTATTCTCCAGAGAAAAGGAGGTATATTGGGACAATCATTCTGTGTCATGCCAAGAACTGAGGCCTTCTCTGTTCAGAAGTGTTTCATGGTGTGGAAATTACAGAAGTGATTTCCGTGAGTCTGGGGTACTTCCTGATACCATGCCAAAGCTTTCTTTCCATCCATATTCTTCTCCGAGTGGCAAATTATCAATTTTTTTTGTAATTTCAGAAGTCGTTGAAAGGTATCTCCAATAGAGGCGATCTGAAGAGCCTTGGCAAATACACTGAAAGAAATGTTCACTACCCCTAATTTGCTGTTACACAACATGTATTTGCTCTCACAGTGTGCCAAGGATCAGAAAACATGTCGTTGATTACTAACTAGTAATTAGATCGTTCACCTTATTCAGAGCTATGGTCAGGTTCTGGAATTCCCTTTCCAAGTAAGTTACATGCAGCCCACTGGTTGGGAGGTTTTTCCTGAGGCCTGACTCAGAGGCACATGAGCTAACCCAGGCCCAAACCCCAAAGACAGATCCTTTTGCCTAGGCTGTCTTTAGCTTCCTTCATCCCCTTCCCACCCTCCTGGGCCCACCGCCTTCCCTCCCATTTGGCCCCCCGTCCTCCAGCAAGGCCCCTCTGACCACACCAACTAAATGACTCAAGCCCCTGGATTCAACAGTAAATGTTCTAGCTCCGCAGGGAAAGGTACCTGAATCAGGCAGCTAGATATCAGATGACAAATTCTGGCAAAGTGTGCTCCTTGGGCCTTCACGATGCTTTATTTTAAAAGCGTTTTAACACTGTGAGATGACAGTCTAGCTCCTGGCAGGGCTTTCCTGCCTTAGGATCCTGAAGGCATGTGGGGAAGGTGTGACAAACAAAATGACTTGGAGCTTCAGAGTAACTTGGAAATGAATCCCAATCTTGAGTGATGCCTTTGTCTTACACTAGGTTTCATGACAGACAGAAGAGAGGTCCAGACTCCACATCTGCACAGACAAGACTGGAAGCCACCTCTCTATCTGGACTCAGGCCAAGGTCACTGGGGTTGGCCCCAGGTGAAGCAAGCATACTGAACTTCAGACCACTGCTGGGAAGTTCAAGGAGACAAAATAATGCTGATATTCCAAAAGCTTTGAAATGTTACCACAATGATGTTTTCTTTGCATTACTGTTAAAATTAGCTTTCCAAATACTCACATTAAATCAAATTATTAGTAAACGTTTGCTGTTACATAAGCCACAAATTAGCTCTACCCCATATGGATCATGACAAGTAGTTCTGCCTAGAACTAGCTCATGTTTGGCAAGTCACTTAATCTCTCCGTTGCCTCATTTTTCCCATCTGCCAATTGGGAATAATAGCAAAACCCACCTTCTAAGCTTATTCTGAGAGTGCAATACATGTAAGGCACTTACAACAATGCCTGATGCTTGGTATTCCTTTAAGAAAGTCACCTATAATGACTATTATTATTCTGTCATTGAGTAAAAACATTTTGATCATTTAATTATTTGTGTTAGACTCTTTTAGAACCCATGCCAGCACCACAGGGCCTCAGTGGGAAGCTTCTTTTCAAAGAATTATTTCCAAGGCAGAAGGCAAAACTTCAGGACCCCAACAGAGACCCATGCCCAAGTTCACCGGGCATCTGACCAGAGTCCAAGAGACTGTTCCGCAACAGCTCCACTGGCCTCTCTGGTTCCAGAAAGTAAATCCCCATCATTCCCAGAGGGAAAACCACCCGCAGTCACCCCCAAACAGCGCCTGCTACAGCAGGAGCCACTCAATAAAGCCACAGCTCACTGAGCTTCAGCAGCCTGGCTGCGGCAGAGGGGAGGCTGCAGGGCTCTCCTGAAAAACCAGGTTGGTTAGGGGGAGACATCTCTGCCCACCTGGAGGCTACAGGTAGGGGGACAAGAGTGAGGGGCTCAGGTGGAGATGTGCCACACAAAGGAAGGAATTCCCACACACCGAGACTCCACTCTCTCCCATCTGCAGCCACGTAACCGGTCTCAGGATGACAAGCAAGGGCATGCTTCTTGCTTCGTAACTTGAGCATCCCAGCATCAAAACCCCATATCCGAATAAACCTCAATAGCAACGTTTAAAAGTTTTGACCAAAACTCACCCCCTAACTGGCCATGCTGAGGGAGGTAGTCCCAAACCCCTCTCTATTAAAAAGGCCAGGTCCTTTCCGTTTTCATCCCAACAAAGGTAGAAAGTCTATACCCACAGGTGCCCTCCCTAAAGTGCAGCAACACAGCTGGGAGACCCTATTCTCAGCCTTGCCAGGGTGCCTTCCTGGGAATGCTGCCTTCACAACTTCACCCTGGGGGATCCACTGCAGATGTAGCGGGTGGGGGTGAGGGAAATGAATGACCACCGACCATGGACCCTGAGTAGGGGGCAGCAGACAATCTGGGTGGGAAAATGTGATTCTGGGAAAGCAAACCAATCACAAAAACAAGGAAAGGGGGGAAAGGGAAGGAAGGGAAGAAGGAAGAACACAGTGATTTATCTCACCAAACACCTCCTCTTTCTGTTCCCAGCCTAATCAACACCTCCATAAACCCCTACAAAATGTTCAGTTCATATAACACATGTGTGCGTGTGAGCGAATATATACACTGACAGATACTGATCACCAGCAGATACTGATCACATGAGGGGAGAAAATAACCTGAACTTCAGACTCACCCAGCAGTGCCTGATTGTCTTTCACTATCAGCCTCCCTACCTATTCTGGGGCGCTTCAAAACAAAACAAACAAAAACAAACTCCTGGACAGAAAGAGAGCAGTTGCTGAACTGAGCAGCCCATGCTTGGGGCATTCATGCCGACTTCTGAGTGTTACAGCTTTCTTGCCACGCAGCCACCAACACTTGGACTGAAGACAGCCGGAGAGAGGAGTCGCCTGTACAGAGACACTCACAGACCCTCCCTGAAGACATGCAGGCCAGCGTGTGTGGCTGAGCCTGTGTGAAACAGACACACGCTCAGGGAAGGCTCTACCCACACGTGACCCTGAACACTGCGAAATTCTTCCCTTCCATAATCGCGTGGCATCCAAAGTGTTGCCTACACCTAGTACGTGCAGATGTCGATTCTGTAAGAACACACGATGGAAGGACGGCAAAGGGAATGACCGGAGCCCCATTTTCTCGAGACCCTATCTCTCATCTACACGGTGTGCCCATACACACCGTGAGTAAACACACACAGCCAGTAAACACTCATATCCACCATTCTCAGCCCACAGTCACGCGTGGGGAGAAAGAAGTCGAGAGGATGGCGGTGTCAGGGGAAGTGGAAAGTCGCCTGCTGGTGACTGTCCTCCCAAAAGCTCGGAGCTCCTCTCGCCCCGGCCGGAGAGCGGTGCCCACTCGCGCCCGAGGGACGCAGACCCAGGCGTTGGACACGCGGGGGGCTCCGCAGAGCCGAGAACCCGACAATGAGGACGCGGCGACCAGCCGGTTCCTGCCGCGGTGGCTGGCGGTGGTGGCAGCAGGCGCTGCCTGTGCACCCACGGCCGCTGGTACCTCCACCCTTCTCTCCCGGAGCCCCACTTACGTTCCGAGGGTCTCCTTGAACTCGAAAATCTTCTTTATGTCTTCAGCTTGCTTTTTCCAGGAGGAGCTGCTCTCGCCGTTCTCCCGGGCCATGGCAGACGAGGGCGACGTGTGCGGAGGGCGGCGAGGCGGCGCGGCCGGGGCGCGTGGGGCCGGGGTGGGCGCGCTGAGGAGGGGGCGCCCGGCAACAGGGGCGCAGGCAGCGGCGGCGAGCCGGTCCCGGAGGGCTGGGGCGGGCGCGCGGGGATGCTCGGCGCGGGAGCCGGAGGAGACTTTGTGCTGCGGCAGAGCTTCCTCTTCTGCAGTTTCCTCTTTCACTCTCGCCGCCGCCGCGGTCCCTCCCTGGCTCTAATTTCTGCTCGTCTCGGGCACAGACTTCCTGCCGCCGCCGCCGCTCGACCCGCTCCTTTGCCGCCGGCTGCCAGCCTCACTTTTGCTACTTTCTTGCCTCCCTTCTCCTCCCTCCCCGCCGCCCGCCCTGCTCCCTCTCTCCTCCCCCTCCACCTCCTCCTCCTCCCGCGGGCTCCCCGCCCTCCCCGCGCGCCCCGGCCGCCTCCCGCCTCCCCGCCTCCGGCGCGCTGCCGCCTTCGGGGATGTCCTGCTCCCCGAGAGCTCTGTGCACGGGGCGCGGGGCACCGCCGTCGGCTGGCCGCGGCGCGCGCCCTGAAGCCCCGAAGAGGGCAGGTGCGGGGGACCTCGGCAGGTGCAGGGCGCCGGGGCGCGCGCGGGAGGACCCCAGCCCCTGATTCAGGTGCTTTATTAATTCTGCAGTCAAGTCTCCGGGGCGCGAGGGCTTTCCTACTTGGCGGCGGGAGGGGGCGCCTCTGCGTTGTGCTTGGCAGCAGCGGGGTGGGGGCGGGAGTGCGAGGTTGCCCGGATCCGAGGCGACGAGGGTGGGGGCGCTTTCCCCGAGCGCGCGGGCCGGTGGCCCGTGCGTCCCGGGGCTGCGCGGAGCTGGCGGGCGGGGGTCGGTTGTTATGGCGACAGGAGGAGCGGTGGGGATGCAGGCGGAGGTGGGCGTTGACTCGGGCCCCGCGGAGCCCGCCCGCTTCTGGCGCTCCCGGAGCCTGTCGGTCCCTCCCGACTCGGCGACTAGAGCTAATTCGCATTGCACCAAAATCGGCGCTCGCGTCAAATTCTGGCCGGGGGAGGGGGCCTCGTGGCGAAGAGAAAGCCTGGAAGCCTCGGGGCCGGGGACGCGCAGGACGTGCGAGGCGCCGCCTCCTTTTCCTTTTGGGAGCTGGACTCCCGGAGTTACTAGGCGCCCGGGCTGCGGGTGGATTCGGGGACCGCCCGGCGCGGGTTCCGTGACCCTCTCGGGCGGCCTCGGACCCAGGACTGGAACTGCCTGCGGGCCTGGCCGCCTTCACTCCTGTTCGGCACCCCCTGATTTCTCCCCTTCTCCTCTTGCTGAAACCCAGAGACTTAGTGAAAAGTGAAGGTCTACTCCACACCCTTCTCAAAAGGAGGGCTGCCCCCTCCTTAGCCCTTCCTGCAGTGGGCTTAGTAGGGTACCCGGAGGCGCAGCTTATACCTGGAAACATCCTTTCCTACTGGCTAGAGAAAGGAACCCGGGGTTCCCTCTAGCCTCCCATCTCGAAGATGCTCTTTGACTGCCCAACCTTCTCTCATGTCCAGCTGTCAGAGGGGAACCCACGTGCAGATCCCTGTCCCCAACCTGAAGGGACTACCTCTTGATTCAGAAAATAGTTTTCCTTGTATGCAGATTATGGCTCCTGCTCCTGTAATGCCCCTGGCCTCTCTCTCCACTTGAATAAACAGCCTCCTCTCTTGATTGTTCGTTGACACCTGCCCCATTTTCCCAGGACTGTTCCAATTTTACTGTGAAGGGGGGGAATCTACTCCCTGAAAGGGAAACTTCACCCAGCATCTTCTTCCTGGGTCTGACAGAGTGGATGCAGGCCCAGTGCTCTCCCTGACACTGTCTGGACACTGCCAGCCTTTCCCCGCCTCCCTTTCTCCAACCCCAAGGAGGTCAAAAGATACCCTGACCTGCCCATCCCTCCACGCCTCCATGCTGGTTTCCTGTCTTCCAGGGGCTGTTAGTTTAAGGCTCTCCAGGCTGTCCAGGGGAAATTCAGTATTACTCAGCTGTTATAAACAGACTAAATGGGTAAGTGAAACTTCCAGGACAGATTACAAAGCACAAGGCAAATAGCACCTCTTTCAACCAGAACTGGATTCAAGGAACTAGAATATCTTTCATTTCTGTCAAAGCTTCAGTAAGCAATATGAAGAGTTGGAACTGGGAATGACTAAGATGCTAGTAGACACACCCTCCCATGCCCTACTATGAGCATCTTATCTTCCCTCCTTCCCTTCCTCCCATTCTCCTCCTTCTTACTCAGTTCTTTCCTCTCCATTTCACCCTTGCTCCTAGCCTAAGGATCAGCCACCAGAGCTCCTGAAGACAATCCTCAATCTCAGCTTTTGTCCCCAGAACTAAGGATATGCTGATGTTCTCTCCCTCCCTATCAAAGAGAGGCGTTGTCCAGGAGGAACAAAAGTGAAGGGGAATCAGAGGAAGATGGCACATGGCTCTATGGCTGTGACTTTACCAACCAGCATGCAATGTCCATGAGGTCAAGGAACACATAGCCTTTTGTACCACTGTATGCCCAGCACCTAGCATGGTAATTCACACATAGTAACTGACAGGTGAATGGGCATAAGATGGACAAAGAAATGAAATAGAATCAAGAAAGCTATTTGATATTTGTTGTACTGATATAAAAGCTATAGAGAATCTTCTTTCTCTTCCAAACTTTGTAATGATGTTCATTCAGCATTATCAAGTCGTGCTCATCTGGACTAAGTCCCAGAGAAAAGATGCAAACATTTAATGCAGAGCTAAGGAGGCCAGATCCAAAGGAATGGATCCCCAAGGAGGCAGAAGTGCCAAAGACAAACTGTGTGGCTTCGCTATGGTCATTTCTCCCTTACTGAACTCCAAGTAAAATAAAAGATCTTGATCCTGGAGATCGCATTGGAAAACAAAACCCACCATTTCCAAAGTATGGCTATGCCTTGCACTGTACACTGTCCAATTCTGTTAGCTCCAGGGCCCTCTCTTGGACTGTTTTCCAGTAACTGACCATTTCCTTCAGCCTGCCATGTTCTTCTAGAGAGACAGGTGATGGCCACCAGTCTCATGATTCTATCCCACCTCCACTGTCCTTTATTATCTATCCATCAAAAGCTATCACTTCCCCAACAATTCCACTCTAGAAAACTCTGTCACATGTTCTGGATTACAAAAGTTAGTTCCCAAGTCTTTATATTTTCTTAAAGCTCTTACAATTTTGCTTAAAGAGCCCAAAGAAGTATTTGTTTAAAAGATTTTATTTCTTTGAGAGAAAGAAAGCATGAACAGTGAGGGGGGGTGGATGCAGAGGGAGGAGAAGAGGGAGAAGCAAACCCCCACTGAGCAGGGAGCCTGACACTGGGCTTGATCCCTAGACCTAGAGATCATGATCTGAGCTGAAGCCAGATGCATAACCAACTGAGCCACCCAGGCGCCCCAGAGGTACTTTTAATAACGCGTCATTAAGTAGTTACTAATATTATGCCCATCAAACTTTTCCCCCACCAACCCTCTTGCCAATAGATCAGGTTTGTGTGGCCCAGGCTCAGAACTGGGCAGATGGTGTAAGGAAGATAAATACTATATAGAGCGATACATAGACTAAATCTGAAATTTTCTAAATTACCTCTGTTTGATCTTTTGTACCTAAAGTGATGAGCTGACAAGGCAAACTGGGGCAGTGGAAAGAATTAGAAATCCAGGAAACTAGACTTAAGGCCCAGGTCACAAAATTTGTAAAAACACTTGACCTCCCTAAACCTGTAAAATGCAGGTTGTAGAAGGGAGAATGATACATAAATTCAATAATTTTTAGGACTTGCAAATGAATGTTGTTTTTTTTTTTTTCATTTGACATAAAGCTTATCAAGAATAGCATCAATGTTGGGATGCCTGGGTGGCTCAGTCAGTTAAGCATCTGCCTTCGGCTCAAATCATGATCTTGGGGTGCTGGGATCGAGTCCCGCATCTGGGTCCTTGTTCCGAAGGGAGCCTGCAGCTCCCCCTGCTTGTGCTCTCTCTCTCTCTCTCTTTGATAATTGAATTGAATTTAAAAAAGAATATCAAACGGGGCACCTGGGTGGCTCAGTGGGTTAAAGCCTCTGCCTTCGGCTCAGGTCATGATCCCAGGGTCCTGGGATCAAGCCCCACATCGGGCTCTCACCTCAGCAGGGAGCCTGCTTCCTCCTCTCTCTCTGCCTGCCTCTCTGCCTACTTGTGAATTCTGTCTGCCAAATAAATAAATAAAATCTTAAAAAAAAAAAAAGAATATCATTAATCTTCGAAAACTTAAAAACTCTTTGGTCCAAATTTTATTAATCAAAAATATTCTATTAGGTGACCTCATATAGATCCACTCTCCCTGAAAAACTGAAATCCCAACAAGAAATATGACAGGGGAAAACATTTCCTTCCTAAAAGCTGGGTGCTATCCTCTCAATCAAAAGGATTGTTTGACAACACTTTGATGTTAGAGCCTCATCTCATAAATACTGCAAAAGTTTTAGCATCTTAAATTGTGTACTTAGTTCTTAAAAATAGGTAAAAGAGTTACTAGAGCATATGTTCTATATACTGATGATTAGCATAAGTTGTTGCTAGTTTAGAGGACAATAATATCTAGGAAAAGCGTAGCTGAATGAGGAATCAGAACGAAGGGCCACCTCTGTAAGAAGCAGCTTGTCAGGGAGGCATACTCAAGAAGGACTCAATATTGTCATTTCAGATCTCTACTGGAGAAGGCACAGACTAAAAGAAGCTTTAATCACAAACCTGGGTCATAAAGAAACTGAGCACGGTCCACAGAAAATTCTAGTTAGCCGGGAAAATGTCTAAGGCCCACTATTTAACCTGAACCTCTTACATATTAATAGCCATTTTTTGGAGGAACTCACCTAGTTCACATGATGGAAGTCAAGGGGGAACCAGCACAAATCTTTACAAAATTCCTCCAGTTAAAACAAACAAACAAAAACAATCAGGGTGGGGGGTGGTGAAGGGTAATAGGAAAAACAAAGTAGCAGCAAAGATTCAACACAAGGAAAAAAATGCTACAGAGAAAGTAAAGTTTGTGTTCAAACACATCACAATTAAAAAGAAAAAAAAACAAAACAAAACTATAAAACAACCAAAAATGCATTTGCTCAGGAAAGATAGGGCAAGACAACAGGAGGAATTAAAACAAGCTGGAGACATCAGGAAGGAAGCAGGAACCAAGTGAAACCACCATAGAACCAAGACTATCGTGGAAATGGAAATGGCACAAGAAAAATTGCTAAAAACCTTTTAAGTGATCTAGAGGACAAATCAAGAATAGTGGGAAAATAAAATGGAACAAAGAGTAGACAGAAAATTATATGAAACACAAAGGAAGTA